TGTAGTTTACCCATTAAATTATCATGACAAATTCACTAACAAAATAATTAAGTGTGAAATGTACGCCCAAGATTTCTCCCCTCCCATTTTTTCATTATTATTTTTTTATTTTCAATTTAACATTAATTTATTCATTTCTTTTTCTTTTTTATTATTTAATGTGTTTGTAACTAATTTTCTTACTTGAAAAATTACTAAGTCATGATTAATAAAAATTAATTAATAAAAAACTTTGTAATTTTGGCCTTATATTTAAAAATAAAAATTAAATTTTCTACAACAAAAACAAAGTAATGTTTCATTTATGATTGTGTAATATTAACAATAAGAAAAAAAAAAAACTCTTTTAGTGTAAAGAAAAAAAATTAATTAATTTTAAATTTATCTTTATTTGTCATTTGATGCTAAATAGCAATAATTAACTCTTGTATAATCAAACAATTATTATAAGGAAAAAATATATATCAGTCTTGACTCATAAAAAAAATTAAAGTTTTAATATTAAACTATTGTTTTATTTAATTAAAATGTAATTTAAAATTTTAAAAATTATCTTATTAAATGTTGATATTTAAATTTAAAAATTAATTACATTTTTGAATTTTAATTAAATATACAATTTCTAAATATACGTTGAAATTCTAATTTTTTTAAAATGAAAATTACTACGCATTCACCTTTTATTATAATCAACATCCATTATACACTGCTCTTATTTATTGTCTGTTGTTCCTTATGTATTATTCATCACCCATTAGCCTACCATTCACAAACCCTTACCTATTGTCCATGACCTACCATTGATCATTCACTATCTATTATCTACTAAACCCCTATCCACTAGTAAGTGGATTTCAACCTCTGTACCAAAACTAGTCCGTGTCTACTGGGCCAAGCTTCTGAAAATATCTTGGTTGCGATAAAAGCTGGAGTTAAGATGGAATTGTTTTTGAGAAGTGCTTCTTATTGAGTTTGGTTTCATCGTGTATAAAGTGGAAAATTGTTTCCTTTTCTCTCAATACAAACCCGCGGTAAAAGCAATAATGAAATCATCTGAGATGAAATGAAGAACAAAGAGAAGCAAAGATCAAGCAAAAGATACAAGAAATATCCAGATTCAAACCAAAGGACGCAGTACTCTGCCATTGTCAACACAGCAAGCTGCAACGGAAAGTCTATGGTTCTTACTCTGACATGTCACATACAGATCTAATTTAAGAAGGTACAGTTCTCAATTGCCATACCCATAACACATCACTGTGCAAGCATTTTCACAACTTCTGCGGTGCTTCAATGGCATCTGCTGCGTACCCTGCTTCCTGCAGTCTTTGCTTCGAAAGCATTGAATGGAAAATGACGTAGGGGTACTGTTTGCGTAGGGATGATCAAGTAGCCATGAGCCAAAGCCATGATCACAGCCAAATTTTCTAGTTGGGACGATGCCAAGATTTGTCTTCTTTTTCATTAACATCAAACGAAGCATGTGAACCAGTAGTGTCAAAAGTCAAGAGCCAATTTTAGCATTAAGTTATGTCTTCACCCCTAACTGTAGCTCACCAAGAAGAAATTATGAGCCATGTTCACAAACCAAATTTTCTAGTTGGGGACAAATGTCTTAATTTGTCCTGCTTCCATCAAAATCAAATCAAACATGTGATGTGCGTTGTGTGGCCTGGTACCATATTTAATGTATCACAGTTTGAATTTGTCATTCATATTTAGTTTGGACAGATAACTTTTATTTTTTTAATTATTATCCATATTTATACATGCCTCTAACTGAACAAATTATATTAAACTAAAGAACGACAACAGTCCCAGTATCTTAACCATTGGGTCAATACACAACAGACAGCCTCACTAAATTGACATATTGATATGTGTAACTAAGACATGATATGATCTCCACCCACCACCAGCGAGGCAAGATTATTATAGAAACCCTCGTGACTGGTGAGCATCATTTTTAGATCAAGCGAGCGAGGAAATGAGAATGATTATCCTGCATTTGGAGACAAAACCCTTGTACTCAACTTTAACTTTTTTTCATGTTTAATAAAGAAAAAAAAAATCACTTAAAACAATGCTCTTTTCAGACCCACTTTTCCCTTTCTTTTCCTAAAATATTTTATAGTGAACTGAACATGACACATGCTTTAGAGTTCAGACATCCAACCTTTTTTTTTTCACACGACATTTTCATTCACAGCTATGCAAAAGCAATCATCGTTAGAGATGCCTGGATTTCAGGTAAACGACACATTAAACACCTCTCCCAAATCTCTCAGACACTCACAAATTGAACAAAAAAGTTAAAAACTAAGAAAAACGAGGAGTGAGAGTGGAAGGGAATATATAAAGGTTTTCCTTTTCTTTCTTGCGCCCCTTGCTTTTTAGAAAACCAACTTCCTACGCAGCACTGCAATTTTATTGCGTTTCCCAGCAAAGGCAGCGAGATCTCGAATGGTTTCACTTATCAAGTCTTTGAATATTAGCCGTTCAATGTCGAGAACGGCTTCTGACATCTCGACCGGACAATCGCCCCATCCGTTAATGGCATCCCCTGCTGCGAGGTCCTTTTTTAGGACACTGCAAATGACCTCAAATAAATCCTCCGATGTGTCCCGCTCCCGGATTTTCTGAAATTCAGACCAGACTTGTTGGAGTGAAGTCTGTCCAGGATTCAAGTTTGTCCAAGAAATAACTTTCCATGGAGGCAATTGTCTCTTCCGGTTGAGAATTTCATTGATGGTGTCGAAAATTAGCCTCCTTTGTAGACTCGAGACTTTGGATGTGTCCTTCCCCTTGAGATATTGCTGCTTCTCTAGTAGCGAAAAGACATCAGACTCTTCAGGAAAAATATTGGAAGCTCTGAGGATATCAGAAATATAGATGAAATCACAATCATCCGATTTTGATTCCACCGGTGAGATTGCAGAGCTCCACATGTCATCTTCCGATTCAACAAACTCTGGTAATTTCAATAAAAGTAAACAAAATGTTAAAAAAAAACAAAGGGGCATAGCCAAATGCAAAACCTAACAAAAATGCATTTACTTTCGAGCACCAACAACATTGATTGAACGGGGAACAATGTCAATATCAGTACGAATTCATGATAGCAACAACTAACAAAAGGGCTCAATACCCGCTGACGGGAAGACATGATGCATAAAAAAGACCCAAGTCCATTCCATAAATCATCATTTCTCAGTAGCGAACCAAGGTGGGCCAATCCAAACTTAAGCAAAGGGAGCCATGGGATGCTCTAAAATGTTATGGCTTCAAACAGACAGCTGTCAGGAAAGTCCTCCGCAGCGAAAGATTTTCTTTTCAGACTTAGCTTGGTAAAATTCAGGGATGGGAGTTTTTTCAATCTTTTGCTTACATCAGGTAATCTTAGCAGTGAAGAAGAAGATTGTCACTTTCCCAATTTATGCTGCTGTTCATTAAAAAACAGCGTTGGAAACACAACCCCCCTCACAGCGATCACCATCACTGATTCACTAAACCAGGGTAGTAACTAGTACTAACTACTGAGCATCAAACCCACGTGATTGTACCACCGGACTCATCGTAATTAAGATTATCCTCTTCATCCTATATATAGTCTCTTGTACTAATTACGTTTCCAATCTCAGATTAATAAACAAAGCATGGATTAATTTCCAACTAATCATGGGTTCGAATGGGACAATTTGACCAGCATTATTATTTAGTTTTAGATCAGAGGCGGGACCAATGAGTGGTAGGGCTGATATGCCTAGTCTAAAAACATGGCTACTGACCAGCAAAGACTAAAGACATCATCACCATATTCAAAACCCAAACGGAAAATTAATCTTGCTAGTGGAAAATCCATTTGTAGAATAACAAAGGTGGCAGATGGGGGTTTTTTTGTTTGTTTGTTTGTTTTTTCTTTTGGGTGTTTTTTACCTCTGAAATCAATGCTCCGTTTCATAATTGGTGACGGTGACTCTTCCTTGTAAAATGAAGAGTCAAGCACCGATACAGGACTCGGCTGCAAGTCTGTGGCAGTGATTTCAGCTATGCTACTCAACAACTTATCACACCTCTCCAGGAGACCCTTCCCTTCTTTGTGTTCTTCCATCTTAAATCTCTGCAGAAAATTGAATACATTGTAAACCAATTGAACTGCTGAAAAATTTAATTTTAACTTCAGATTAAGTAACAGAATTAAGGGCATTATGCAGTCTTACCTCCATATTAGTTGGAGAAGATGTGCTGATCGTACTATCGGAGACGGTGGATAACTCATCTTCCGCCGGAGCAAAGACCTTCTCCTCCTTCTGATAAATCTCAGCCGGTTGTTTCTTGTTGACCCGTGACCTGTTCGTGCCTTGATCTGATCCGGTTCTCCTCAGAGCAAGCTTCGGAGAATGAACTGGAGAGACTCTTCTCTGCTCTGCCGGCTCGTTTCCCCTCCTCTTTGTCTCAACCGTCAAAGGCCTTCTACCAGGACTCTTCAAGCTACTCTCACTCCTAGTCGGCGAAATCGCATTCCTGCCTGTACCTCCTCTGTTCCTTACATTCCGGTCATTCTTGGGACTGAGCAGTGGCAACGACTCGCAGGAGTTGTTTAAGCTCCGGCTAGGTAATGTCCTCGATCTGTAGCCAGAAGTAGGTGAATCGTTACCAATCCTTCTAGCTGTAGCCGGTGATCTAGCAGGCCTCATGACAACAATTGGAGATTCCTCCTGAGGGAAACTCCGGTCACAGATAAAGTTTCTGCTATCTGAATGCTTCTTGCAGTTGGAGTGAAGAAGGCCTTTGAGTTGCAGAGCTTCGAGGATTTGCTTGAGAGTCTCGAGATCCTTTAACGGCTCATGGATTCCTCTCAGCTTAAGCCTCTTCTCAATCTCGCCGCAGATAGACACCGTCTGTTTTGGCTCCGGAAAGAAATCAGCCGAATCGTAGAAGCATTTTCGTTGTACGGTGCCTCTATACGGTACTTTTTCCGGTTCGCCTCTGGCATTCCTTGCACTGTACTGCTTCGAATTGCCCGATCTGCTATTGTTTGCTTGATCTTGTTTGGTTCCATTTTCTCCAATCAGATTGTTGGAAATGTCGCTCTGCAAATTGCTCTGCTGGTTCTGTTTTAGTTGGAAATTGACTCCATCGATGAATCGATACTGAAATAGATCTCTGCCTCTCGACTCTGAAGCGGATCGCCGGAGCTCCGCTTTCTTGGCCCGCGGCTCCGGATCAGAGCCCGCCAACGGTTCGAGTCCCATCAGCCTCGCGATTACGCCGGGGGACCGTCGTTGCTTGTCGCCATCATCGACTCCGTCTACACTGGTCTCGCGGTTGACCGATAAAATCGCCGCATTCGTCCGGATCTCTCTCGGCTTAAGGCTGCCCTTGGCATCAACAACGGCCCTGCTATCCAGCGACAGTCTCGGAGCCTCTTTGGAAAACTTCCACGACGACCTTGTCCCTTCCTTCAATTCGAAAATAGGAAGAGGAAGAGGACTCTTGGGCGGATTCTCAACCGTAGTTGACAATTCCGGCACCGGAGACCGCATCTCCGGTACCGGCGATTGCTTGAATCCTTCCGGAGATGGCGCTGGCCGACCTTGTGTCTGCTTCTCCAATTCCCCCGACATCGCCGGCGAACCAACATTCTTCTCTGTCTCTGAAGTCGATTCAGTTGCCTAAACATAATAAATACGCCCTTAAATCCCCCCCCCAAAAAATTAACACCTCAGAAAACAAAATTAATGGAGACAGGAAAAAAAGTAATCTAACCGGTATAGAGGGAAGGCGCCTGGTGGAGTAGAGGCGTTTTCCGGTGAGAATCTGGTGACGATCAAAGATCTGAAAGAATCCAGCCATGCATCCCATCTGCTTCCCAATCTGCTTCTCCAGATTCTGATCCTGCACTATGCCGGTCGTCATTTTCTCAACAAGGAAAAACCCCTCCAGTTTTCGTCTTCTTTTCTATTTCTCGGAAAAATCCAATTCCCTTCCCTTCCCTCAACAAATCTCTCTGAAACTCAAACTTCCATTTTCTTCACACATCTCCCTTTCCTGTTCAGTGTGGAGTGGATACATACACTCACAGCTGCAGCCTGTATTTGCATCTCCCGCTTTTCTGGCCTTTTAAAAGGGTGGGCAAAGTTTTTAAGGAAAGGGAGGAGGGAGGTGGAGGTGTGGGGGTCAGCCAAAAAGACACAACTTACCCTTACCTTTCAAGAAAATGACAAACAGTTTGGGGCCTATTAGGAAATGGCAATTGGGTCCTTGGTCCAATGGAAAAAAGGATATAAACCAAACTCCCAACTTTGCCCCTCTGTATGTTTGGGAAAATAGAGAAGGGGGGAAAGATAAAATTTTTCCCTGTTTAATTATTTAAAAAAATCAAAGAAAAGGAAATTGTTTTTAATTTTTTCTTTATTTATTAATTCATCTAAAAAAAAAAGGAAATAGTGGGATAAAATTTTTTCTTTTTCTTTTGTTTCAATTTAAACATGCAATAAATATGAATAAAGAAAGCAAATCCTTTAAAAAAATTTAAATTATCGTTTAGAATAAATTATTTATTATTTAATAATTAATATTAGTATATATTAATTTTTAGTCAAAAACAAATTTAAATTATAAATAAATTTTTTTATATGAAATGACATTAATAGTTAAATAATAGGTTAAATTTATTTATTATCTAAACTTAACTTTAATTAAAAATTGAAATGTGATAAAATTAATTATTAAATAATAAATTATCTATTTCAATTCATGATTTAAAAAAATAATTTAAATAATTTGTTCTTATTTTTTCTTATTGAAGAACAAATCTATACCTACCTCTAAATATGGGGGCGGAATTGGGGTTCCGCCGAAAATATATTGAGATTCCAATTTTCCATTTTTGAAGACTTCCGTTACGCCAACTGCCCTGCCCACAAACCCTCCGTCCGCAGGTGAACCTCTCTCTCTCTCTCTCTCTCTCTCTCTCTCTCTCCACTTGTTCCCCTTCTATTCCCTTGATTTTCGTGCAGTTTGAACGATTAATCCCTGTTTAACTTCCGTACTTCCATCATTTACCCTATACAGTAGATCAGATTCAGTGTTCACCATTGTGGAAATTTTTGGTTTTTACTATGACAACGGTTAAGTGGCAGTACATTGTGAGGTTGTTTTCACCCATTATATTTTAAGTTGGATGGTGTTACTGTGGCATTTAAATGTTTTCTTGCAAAAATGAAGAATCAGTAAGACTGATAGTGAAATAACATTAAAAAAAAAAGGAGAATTATTTAGTAGAGCAATTGGTAACTCTCCACATAAGAGTACTCATAAACTTCTAGTTCAAGGCCATCCCCCTCCCCTTTCCCCTGGGTTGGGTTTTCCAGCTCCTTGGTATTCTGATAAAAAAATAATAATAATAACATTAAAAAAAAATGATGGTGAAATACCATATGTGGAATTCATAAATATATAGTATCAATAATTTGCTGTTTTAAACGAAAAAAATTTAATTTTTTAAAATAAAATTTTAAATTCAAATATTATAAATATAAAAACATACACTAAAAAAATTTTCTTTTATGAAGTTTGGCACAATTTACTATAAATTAATCAAGATACAATATAAATTTTAAATATCAAAAAATTAATGCAAAAAAAAATATATATATATATATCATATATGAAAAGCTCACTATTAGTCTAATTATTCTTTTAACGAATATTAACGAGTAGTTAAGTCCAAACTTAAATTATAATGGTAATTAATTTTTATATTTATGTATCATTAACAATATATTTTTTCCTCACACCTGTCCCTTGTGGCCTTGTAGCAATAGCCACCTCGGTGCAATTCCCCCCTCCCCGGTCTGGCTTCGAAACCCGCCCCTTGCAAATATGTTGAAAAAAAAAAAAAACAATATATTTTTCCTCTCACGTGAAATTCGTGCATTAGAAAGTTTTAAAAACTCTTTTATTAAATGAATATTAAGTAGTTAATTTTAAAAACCAACTCCACCTTGACCCTAGGTTCACCTCCTAAATTCCTAATTTGCAAGAGGAGAAAATTGTTTAGTTTCTAATTTGATTAAAAATAGGTTATTAAATGTAGTGACCACTAAATTTATGAGGGATTACCTCTCTAGTTTTTTTTTTTTTTGAAAAAAAAATCAAATGCTACTTAATAATGTGAAGCAAACTTCATTATTAAATACTAATTTATCAACCAAGTTAAGATACAAAATTTATAAAAGATATAATACATCTGTCTACTTCTAACTATTACACTTACTACTAAAAATTTTTATTGAACTGTCACACTTTATACTTTTGCACGAATACATTAAATGCTTAAGGTCAATTTTTATTCTATTAAATGGTTTTTGAACTTTTTTTTTTTTTTAACAAGTTGTCAAGGGACGGGTTCGAAACCCGTTCATGGGGGAAGAGAAATACGCTTCAAGCTGGCAGGTTGTCAGTTGACCCAAAAAGTCAGGTGAGGTGCTTTTGAACTTTTTATTATAGTACAAAAAGGATGTAAAAATAAAATTTAAAGAGTTTTTACAAAATAATAATAATAATAATAATAATAATAATGGGCTATTAATAGGGCATGGGTTTCAGACATATGACCTTTTTTTATGTTCATGCAAATAACATAATAGTTGTGTTTATTTTTATTAATTTTATAAATTTATAGTTTTATAATTAGTTATAATATTTATAAATATTAATTTATAAATTAATTTTAATTAATTAAATAATAATTAATAATTATCAATTATTTTTTAACATTCAGATAATATTTTATGT